AATGAACTAAATTCTTTAGTATTCCATAATTTAATATAAATTTATAATTTTAGGCCTTTTAAAATTCAATAATTTCATTAATTTTCTATTAAATTAATGTATTTCTCCATGAACAATCGAATGCTTTTCTGAAGTCCGCAAAGCAAGGTATATATAAACGATTTACTCTATTTTTTCCGTCTTTTCCATGAGTGAATCGACTGCTTTAAAAGGTAAATTGCATCAGTTTGTTGCTTTATTTCTAATCCAAACTGATATTTGGTCAACATTCTACGTAATTTTCATCTTTCACTATTCACAATAAGGTTAAATAGTTTGTAGAGACAATAAACAAATGATTTAATATTAGTTTTGAACAATTTAATCGTAATTCCATCATTAGCTGTTGATTATTTTTTTATGTTTTAATAGCTGTATGAATTTTTAAAATGCAATGAGATAAGAGTTATAATTTTGTTTTTTATTTTTCTATTAAAGCCGCTTCAATTTTAGAAATGTCATTAATGTTGTTAAACAATATGCCGATTTCATCACTTTTTACTATGGGTAGTTTTGCTAATTAGGTCATGTGAAGATGAACGTCTTGCATTGTACCAAGAAGAAAACTGATCAGCCTTAATCAATCAGAGTTTGGTTGTTTAGTGCGCATGTGTACTGAAGTGTATATTAGTTGAATGTAGTATTGCTTGTGTTTGGTATTTATGTGGTAAATTCAAAGGTATGAGATCTTTGTATGTCGGACATTTGTATATCCATTTGTTTTATGATCCGATTTATGATTCATTTTAATGCCAACAATGTATTAACATCATTTTCACCACTCCGGAACCGGGTCTCAGTGTGTTGACGGATTTAGTTTAAATTTGTTACATGCACGTGATATTGATTTTTCTGATTGGGTTCAAAATGGCCGACTGGTGGCCAGTTTTAAAGAATATATTTCCGGGTCTATATATCTGACATGCATGAACCGATAAATTTAACAACACGCATACATTAAATATCATATCGAACATATACACATGTATTTGTTTCATGGTTCGATTCAAGATGGCCGATTGGCATCCATTTTAAAACCAATCAAAATTAAACTTTGCAAAGCTCCCATGTGAATATAGAATATAAATAAATCATTGATGTTTTGTAAAATAAATCATGTCTGTGCATTACGTAAGGCACCTATATACCAACACCAGATTTCAGCTGTGTATTGACGGTGTTCATAGAATTCATTGAACAAAATGGCTGATTGGCGGTCATTGTTTTTTTTCTCAATAATACATCTTTGACATTCCTGGGTTTTGGTAGGCATGCAATATTTCATGCCTATAATACAAACGGGGTCTATGTATTGACAATCATTTTTAGATGTGATGCCATTTTTATTAACAAATTCACATTTTGGTGGATATTTGAAATTTGGGTGTGTGAAAGTAGCGTAATTGATGTTGGTGTTTGGAAACAGTCAAAATCGTAATTGCAGCAACAATCGACTGGTAACTAATTTTAAGAACTTAGGCATATACTGTGATATAATCTTTATCACGAAGTTTATTGTGAACTTTTAATCATATTATGTAGGATTATATATATATGTGTGGATACATTGTACACATATTGTACATACCATGACAAGTTCTTCCATTACCATTAAGATAATAACCTTCATTACAAGTACAAATATAAGAACCATATGTATTATCACAGTTATGACTGCATCTACCATTTCTATGAGCACACTCGTCGATATCTACAAGTACAATGAGTGTACATGAGTTTTTATTTTAAGGTAAAAGTTCTAAATATGATATTTATAAATGTTCACTATTCAACACCAGAGGCTCACTCACCGTCACATGAATGTTCGTCATCATTTAACGTATAACCATCATGACAACTACATTCATAAGAATCATGTTTAGGAGTACAAATATGTTGACATCCACCGTTCTCCACATCACACTCGTTTTCTGCAAGTATAGTTAAAACGGATACGGTTTTAACTTTGTACAAACATATGGAACCTTGGGTTATAAATGGCCAACTGTCGGCCATTGTGTTTCAAATAAAGCAGTTCCAGGTTCCAGTTTATCCGACATGACCAGTATGGAATTCGCCGGTAAGCGAGTAAGTCAAGATAGGCTCTGAATACCGTATGCTTCAAGTGCTATAGACCGACTTAACCACTTAGGTTATTTCCCCTATCGCTCCTATGTCGGGTAATTATGTCATTTTTGTGACTTGACCGATTTTTTAGTCATCCAAATCTCAGAAACATTTAATCAAACACTTTGTCAGATTATAGGTTATTATGTATTATCGGTAGATGTGTTGTGCAGTTCCCACACTTCCCTTTCGACTATCTTAGAATGAAGTTCAATCGGAAGATGACATGTTGAACCCTTTCAGATGGACAAGGTATTCTGATCTCTTTGTTGTCAAATTATTTATATACGAGTTACTTACTCCGCGAATAAAACACGTCAGCGGTCACGTGCCTTTTCCCGCTATATTGGACTTTAAAAGTAAAACAAACGTTTAACACTTGTATTCAGTATAGTGAGTGACCCACTGTATTACATATGAGGGACGGACTGTAAAATACGTTTTATTGAATTAGTTGCATACATATTCATAGTTTTGGAGGGAAAGTACACATTAGTCTGGAACGTTCTGGTCTCAATACACGTTTTCATTAGAGATTCAACTATGACATATAAATGTCAAAGTTGTCATGTGCAAGATACTGGTAGAAATATTTTGTTAAAACACACAAGCGACTCGACCAGACAAACGTGTCATCCAGACAGAAGGAAGGTCAACTAAGATGTCACTGAGGGCATAGGCACACAATAACAACAGCATGTCGGATACACACACAAATATGGGAGAAAAACAACCATAATTCGGAAGAGGTACTAGAGTAACCATCATAACCATGTCCTGTGTTGGGCAGAGTGGTAAGATCAGTATGTAAGGATAATGTGATGGGGAATGGACTGACGACCCAATTCAAAACAAGCTTTCAGATTATCACTATTAGTGATTGATATTACACCTTTCACCTTTCAATTAGTGGTGCAGGTGGTCAGGTGAATCTATTCTGGGATACCTAGAAAAGAACATCACATTTCCCGCTGATTTATTTGATGGGGAAGTGTATAATATGTCGGTATTAGTTATCCTTGACACATGTATAGTTCTGAATACCAGTTATGGTTGGTACTAACTTGCTGGACATCTGCAAAGACAATGCATTTAGAACAACTGTAAATCTGCAACTGATAGATACGTGTTTAAGTGATGTTTTGGTAGTACTGGTCATTTGGACATGGTCAGAACAGCAATTGATAGACCTGTTATTATCATACCAGAACAGGATACCTTCATTCTAGGGGACTTGCCAAAGGTCCAGATGGTCACAAGTATGTGAGAATAGTAGTGCCTAGTAATAATGGTAACTGTGTGGTGGTTTATGCAAGTAATGGTCCATCTATTAGTGTGGAATATTATCCTGTTTTCAAGCTAGGGAGATATGCAACCCGATCAGCACACCAAAATTAAACATAGATGACAATCAATAATAGCCAACTTTGATTTTATTATAGCCAGGCAGGATGAGGATGCAGATGCCCTGCCATGTAAGGAAAAATAGCACAATACATTTGTACACCAAAGTGTGCAAAAAAAGTCAGGGTGGACAAGGCACCATTCGTTCAGTGTGTGCAATGGTGAGTACAGTCATCATTCCCGATGCTTGCTCAATGGTGCCACTGTCTTTAACATCTGTATCACATGAGTATTAGATGTATTTGCAACACAAGAAGACACAACCGCGGGAAAGCGTTAGACTAATTTGTGAATGACAGTTTTCTTGACAAGAAAGTACAAAGACCACTGCGATCAGAAGTGAAAATTGCTGTGAGAATGGAAATGGCTTTGCCTGTGCCATTAAATCCCATTCTGCCTGCACGTGAATAACAAAGGAGGATGTGGAAGGATGCTATTTTGTACTCAGAGAAACTGTAATAGAGTCCTCGCATGACAATCTTAGTCATCTTGGACAGGAAAGGAGCGTGACTGAAATGTCTGTTCAGTGAATTAATATGTGAAAACACTGAATATGTAGGAAAATAACAGCTAAAGATAAAGATCTATTGGCATTGATCAAGAGGCCTGCATGGACTATTTGGCAATTGAGCCATCAAAAAGTGTAATGGATGTAAAATGTAAAAATTAACTTATGATAACAGATTTCACAAAGTATGCCATCAAAAAGTGTAAACGATGTAATATGTAAAAATGATTTTATAATATTCAGATTTCACAAAGTATGCCAAAGCAGTTCCTAGTCGAAACTAAACTGATAGTGGCATCAAATGGCATCAATGGGGCAGTTAGTGTGACATAATCGGATAAGGGCTGGAACTTCGAGAGCTGTAACATGGAGCACTTTAATACAATTTATTTGATATGCTTAGAACACAACCCAATTCTGGCAAGGAGAACTGGAAACAGTAACTCATGTATATAATTGCATGAAACATGTTACACCTCAAAATGAAAATTAAAAAAAACAGTCAGAGGACCAAAGAAACCAAGAGCCACAGTGAACCACACAATGATTATCCGAAGCTGACTGTTATTACCTACACACAAAAGAAGTATGTTGAAGAGCGCATAGACATAAGCCTAAAGAAATCTTAAATCCTGTGACATGAACTGGTTCGCATAACTTAAAATCATCGCGTTTACGTGAACCACTTGGCTGAAATTGAAAAATCGATTGATCAGAATGTAGAAATAGATTACATTACATGTGTGTTACACTTTGATAAAAGAAATAAAACAATAAAATTAAACTATCTTCAATTCTCAAAGCAAGAGAAAAAACCGTGGTACGGATATAAAACAGGATTCGGTAGTTGGGTTCGGTGTTAAATCGAAATGTGGTTACTGTGACAAAACCATCATCATTGACAAACCTCTCACAAGTAAGGAGTATTCGAAGCAGGTTTGCAGTTTTGGTTAATAACATGACAGAGAATCAATCTTATTTATCCAGTTACTTAGTTCTTATTCAGCATAACACACTCAGTTTTAAAAGGATGCTCAAGAGGAGTGCGTATCTAGAACTGACGTATCTAGAAGGCACATTGGATTTTAAAATATGACATATGACAATCCAGTCTTTAACTATTGACCTTCAGAGGTAATCAGTTGCTTAGCAATACCTTACGATGAAACATGTTGTCAAATGATTCTTACAACAACAAAAAACTGTTCAATGTTAAATGGCTTTGGGGAATATGGCACATAATGCTACGAATCAATTAGAACATAGTAAATCACTTAGTTTACCTTCTGAGCAGCTTTGTTGATCAGCATCTAAAATAAATCCTTCATCACAAGCACAAATGTATGAGCCAAACAGGTTGTGGCATATTTGTTCACATTCATCGATATTCAAATCACATTCATCAATATCTGAAATAAAAATCGTGGACAAATACTTGATATAATAAACTCATTATGATAATGTATGCTCATTCAAATTAAAGTCAAATACTATCGTGAGATATAATATACATGTGGTGAAACAAAAATAGCAGAATACAAACATTGTACTTTATAAGTAGCACATAGAAAATGTCTGACAAATAGTTGGCAAAATATGGTTATCGTATTAGTATTACGCTCTACTTTCACTCTAAACACTGTGGACTCACTCACCGTCACACGAATGTTCGTCATCATTTAAGGTATAACCATCATAACAACTACATTCATAAGATCTATGTTTATCTGTACATATATGCTCACATCCGCCGTTTTCCCCATCACACTCGTTCTCTGCAAGTATAATTAGATGCAAATAATAGCATATGTAATTGTGTTTGTAATGGTCATTTATTTTCATTATGTCCGATATCACAATGTCGAGTAGAAATACTTAGAGACAAATTGAAGAATATTATTTATGATATGTTGTTATACTTTGATATGAGAGATAAAGCAATAAATTAAATCTGTCTTTAATTCATACAGTACCGTCAGAATCGGATTTTGATTGTGAATTAGATTCTGTTATATATTCCGAGGTGGTTCCTGTTGATTGATATTAAGATTATGAGTTTTTGTTATAAATTATATATTTATATGCAACAATAAGGCGATAATAATTTTGTTTTATACACAAATAAAGGTACATGTAATGTATAATATTCATTTATTTAATCTGTCGGGTAACTCAAGATAATTTTTAATTGGAAAAAACAAACAAACAGACACAAGCGTATATTATACCAGCATTTCAATGCAAAAGTCGCTCTATGTGTTATAGAGTGTGTTTTTAATTATACAAGCAGTCGTAAGTATACTGTATGGCATTGTTTTTCTTTTTTATAATCCGAATGGCTTACAGTAGAGATAAATTCTTAAATCAGCAGAATGAAGTAATTTAATGAAGAACTCCGCGACCCTCGGGTATTTGATGCTCAAACAGCGTACATGATTTTTTTTCAGAATTACGCAAACGACGTCTTAACAATAATTGTCATATTCAATTGATCCTCAAAACGCGACGTGTGGGCGTGTGGCATTATTCAGCCTTTGTATTTCCTTGAAATTTTGTCAATTAAGACGATTTTACCTATATAACACACCCGTACGCCAGAGGTGTGTACAAAAACATTCATGGAAAGAATTGTAAAATGGTCGAAATAGTTTTTTAAGCTATAACTTTTGGAACAGGAATTTCCAAAATTCTAATTTATTTTGACAACACATATACTGATTTGTAGACTTCTAAAACCAAGATAACGACCTAAACATATATAAGAAGCTAAGAATTACTTGTAAAAACAGTCCATATGCATGTCATATGATACTTTTTCATTCTGTTGAGCGTTGTTTCCGTCATTTTTTTTTCAAGAACATATACTCCATGACATACCATATTCCAAAGTAGTTTCTTCCCAGTAATCGGTAGTGGTTTTTTCAGCATATTCAACAGTCGTTTCTGTGGCAATATTTGACGTGGTGCCTGTCCCATAAGCGGTAGTGGTTTTTTCAGCATATTCAACAGTCGTCTTTGTGGCAAAATTTGATGTGGTTTCTTCCCCATATTCTTCTGTAGTTGCCTCACCATACTCTACAGTAGATTCTGTGACAGGGCGTGACGTGGTTTCTGCACCATGGTGCGACGTGGTCTCTGCACCGTGGTGCAACGTGGTAGCAACTCCAAAAGAGGTCATTTCGCCATAAAGCGTAGTGGCATATGTGGTCCATTCGATATCTGTATATGAACATATAATAACAAGGTAGAGTTTATTTCTATAAATAATAAGCCTGCCATGTGATACGGAGGTGTGCCTATTCCAATTGAGGTGCTAACTGACTGTCTCCCAGCGTGCTAAGATTCTAACC